GCTAGGTGCCACTTCAGATGCCTTCTGTAGCATAGAAGATAGATATGACAAGTTCTCATGACTGATAAAAGGCAGTTGTTGAAAATAAGCTGTTTTTGAAAGTGCAGGGACATAGCTATATGAGGTTTTAGTGACTTGGTGAGAATATGCATAGCTTCAGAACTTTTTCTTGGTGACACAAATAACATTGATTTTTCATGAGACCCAAAATGAAGACGAATTCTTTCTTAAATTCAAGAGGTTACCTGAGAAAAAGGCTTAGGACGTATTGACATTCCAAGTGGCCTAACCAAGAAACAGTCCCTTAGCCTTCCTTGCTTGAGCTCTGGGTGTACTTCTAAGCTCAGATAGATTGACTTTGGAAGAGGAAGCAAGCAACTGTCAATTTTCAACCTCCATTCAAAGGACATCTAACTTGCAGAGAGAGTCCCAGTCTGTGCCCAACTAGAGCATATGATAACGGTTCTGTTTTATTATTACCTGGGGTAGCAACAGGCCAAGTCTATCCAGAAGGATGAGAAAAAGGAAGAGAATGGATCTTTAGTGTGTGTCTATTCTAGAATGATTGCTGTAGATACACTGTGTCCCTTAATCCTCTCTAATGCTATGAGGTTGTTAATAACATCCTGTATACTGATGAATATTACGATGCCTTATATCCAAAACTATTGCCATATAAATATGAATCTCATATGTCATGTAGACTCAGGTTTTTTCCAAATTCCAAATATCTCCATTATATTTAAATTCAACCTCACAGGATAGCACCGTTGCAGAGACAGTTGTCAGCCCTCTTACTCATTCTCACATACTTTTTTAGTGATAGAACTCCTGAATTGGACATAGGGCAATATGTGTCTTAGCCTTCCTTATAGCTACATGTGGTTATTCAGAAAGTTATATCCAGTAAAGCATGAGCTGAGTTTTGTGTGCAACTTCTAGGCCCTATGCTTAGAGAGAAGTGGCATGCCTTCACTTCCGCTTCCCCACTACCCACAGGCTGGGTTGAGTTACAATAAGAGAACCTAGATTACAAAATGGAAGCTGTACATTGAGGATGCCAGAGTAATACAATAGATGGTGCCCACATTCGTGATATGGAACAGCCACATCAAATATGAACTATGTATATGCCAACTGTTACACGAGAGGAAAAGGAACTTGTTTAACTCCTTGATCTGTTGCCTTTTGTCATAGCAGGTGGCCTCGTATCCTATTTACATCAAACACTTTATAAACACACTAAAATTATAAAATGATGAAAACACATTTGTGTAGTTGGGGGATGTTGTTTTCTTCTGCAAAAAAAATAGTATTCAAAGTGAGTTTATTGTCTTCACCAATGAATCCATACACCCACTAGGTGTCAGTGATTTTCCAGGTTGATAATTCCCGACTTAGGCAAAGACGGAAAACATGTGACTCAAAGTGAAGTCAAAGCGTACCTGTTTATGTTCACCATATAAGTACTCAAACAGGTTTAAATTAGTCCAGAGCAATATTTTTAATATTAATAAATACAACTAGTAACAATAAAGCATTTCATGAGCGTCAGGCACTATTCTAAGCTCTTGATATATTTACTCATTTAATACAACAATCATATGAAGTAAGTACTACTTATTATCCCTGTTTAGCAAAGAAGAATGTGTGTAAGTCAGGCACAGAGAAGCTAAGTGCCATACCCAAGATTGCCCAGCTACTTGGGGAAGAGGTGGGGTTTGAACCTGAGCAGTCAAGCTCTAGTCACTGCTCTAAACTGTTTTCTTTAGGAAGTTGAAAGACTAATATGAAAGCCTTGTACAGTGAGTGCTGTGTTTATTCATGTGAGCCCAGTTGCTATAAATATTGCCGAGCCACATGCTTTCACTCAAATGGGATCTTCCCTTGAACCATCCAGTGTTTTTTCTAGGTCCCAAGTTAAAGAGAATTTAGTATCCTTAAATTCTCAGGAACTTTTAAAACCATGTCTCAGAGCAGAACTGTGACTCTGACCTAAAACAAGTTAGAATTCATGGGAAAGTTTTCCAACTAGTTATATTCAAGCATCCTTCATAGTAGAATAGAGAAAGCATCTTTTTAAAAATATTTAAAATTTTATCCAAATTATTATTACAGTAGCACTGAATAAGTCATAAAAACGTAATTTCCTTATAGTCCTTTTATCTGGCAAATTGCTTCTGCTTATAATCTGTAGCTGCTCTTTTAATTCTTTCCAGTGTGCAAATATATTAAAAATAGGTACTAAGAGTAGTACAAATGTGCTGTTCTTTGATTGCTTTTCATTGCCCTGCTACAAACCAAAATGTGGTTTATAGCAGACACATGTAACAGTTTAAAAACTACCAACTGTCCCCAGGGATGGAGCAATCCACTAAATGGCACATTAACTCACTGGAATACTGATTGATTGTATATTATTGCAACTTCTGTTGCAAAAACTATATACATTTTTTAGTCTTCTCAACAACAGTTCTCCCTACAATAGCATATTTATTTATATTGAAGAAGTTAAGGAAGCTCGGTTGTATCTCGACAACTTGTATACCTATTGATTCCTTTCCAGATTCAAGCCTTAAGCTTTGCTCAACAGTACTGCCAGGCCAATTAATTTTTTACATATTTGTGCAATTAGTTAAAAGAATATTTGATGTACTTGTTTCCTAAAATGTAATGTGCATGCATGCATGAGTGTGTGTGTGTGTTTCTCTAGGATCAGTTCTCTGGTATATAGTAGGGATGATAATACGGTTCAAAACATTTCTCCATGGGTAGTACAGGGTTTCTCACAGAATGACTCTTTGATGCAAAATAAATTTATTACTCTTGTGACTAATTTTCCATATTCATTATATTAGCAAGTGTTTTTTGTAATGTGCTTCATCTGGTACCTAATATGTTTAGATATATAAACAAAAGCTGTCCCACAACGATGACATGTTAAGAATGGCTCTCCTGGGCCAGGTGCGGTGGCTCCTGCCTATATTCCTAGCACTTTGGGATGCCAAGGTGGGCAGATCAGGAGGGCAAGAGATCAAGACCATCCTGGCCAACATAGTAAAACTCTGGCTCTACTAAAAACACAAAAATTAGCTGGGCATGGTGGCACACACCTGTAGACCCAGCTACTCAGGAGGCTGAGGCAGGAGAATTGCTTGAACCCAGGAGGCAGAGGTTGCAGTGAGCCAAGATCGCACCACTGCACTCTAGCCTGGTGCCTGGTGACAGAGCAAGACTCTATCTAAAAAAAATTCCTCTCCCATATGAGAAATATTTTGATGCTGTATGAAGTTATTCTTTTGTGTGAAGACTCCTACATTGACAATATTTATATGATTGCTCTCTCTCTATTTTTTGATGCACAATAAGGGCAGAACTCTGGCTGAAGAATTTTCCACAATTGAGTCATTCATATGGCTTCTCTCCAGCAGGGTTTTCTGATGTGAAGAAAAGGTGACATCTTCAACTCAAGTATTTTCCACAACCTTTACATTTTAATGATTTCATCCCATTGTAAATTATATGATGCATAATAACATGAGATCTCTGTATATAAGACTTCCTAAATTCATTGTCTTCATAGGGCCTCCCTCTTACAAAAGTTCTGTTACATAATGAGGTGAGTGTTCTGTCTGAAAGATTTTCCATGTTCAGGACTGTCACTGAGTTCGTCTCTGCTATGATTTATTTCATGTCTAATGAAACTAAGACATGGACTTGAACTCAGATCCAGAACAAGTAAACTTAATAAACATTTATTGAACTCTCCACTTTAAATACACAAAATATACATTCTTATCAGTACCGCATCACACCTACTCATAGGTTTAAATGAAATATCTATCGGCCATTATTAAGCACAATTATTGGCATAAAAGAGGTTTTCAATACCCATTTTTAGAAGAAAGCAACATTCCCATTCTCTCTCCCTCTCTTTCTTCCTCTCCTTCATTCCTTTTTTTCTTTCTCTCCTTCTTTTTTTCTTTCTTTGAAAAAATAGGGAAGATAGAGCATACAAAATGAAAGTCAATACCTATAGAGTTTAAGAAAAAACTTCGTTGAGGGTTGATTGTACAGTTTTCTTACATTTTTATTATTGCCTTATTAAAAAAAAGAAACTAAGACATAAAACAAACCAAATACTTTCCAAACTGATTACATATGTACAGTTTATCTCCAGTATGAGTTCTCTGATATAGGAAAAAAGTGACAGAACCAGGTAAAGACATTTTCACATGCTTATGCATTATTTACCTCCTTATGGTTTCTCACCAGTGTGATTTATGTGATGTCATGTAGTGAGAACCCCACTGAAGAATTTTGCATCTTTATATCGATAGTGTTTGTCTTTTTATTTATACCCTTAGATATACTTATCACTATCACTGTATGGTTTATCTCCTGTCTGAGTTCTTCCAAACTGAATCAGGTGAATGTTCTAACAAAAGGTTTGAGTACATTTACTACTGTTACTGACATGGTTTGCCTGATGACCACTAAACTAAATTATGTTTTAAACTTTTAACATTTGAATAATGCTTATGGAAAGACTCTCTAAGTACTAGGTGAACATGACAAATACAGTGTCCCCAGTATTTATAACTTCTACAGACTCTCCTAGGTACTTTGTGTGTGTGAATGTGTCTTATCTTAAATGTTTCTCTTCATTTTCCAGTTTGTTTTCACATTTCCATTTTTAATGAAAATTCCAGAAATCATTCCTTTCCATTTTTGCCATTTTAATGTCATAGAATTGTTTATCTTCAGAAATGTCATTTTTAGAAATTGATGATTTGATTTCAGTGATAGTCACTGATTCTGGCCAGGTCTCTTGGTGAATCTGACCAGGTCTTCCCAGCTGTGATTCATTACCTTTCTCCATCTAGAGGATCCCATCTGTTTGGGAAGCTGATGCTCCAAGGAAACCGGATTATTATAGTTCTAGGGCATCACTTATTTGATTATGGGTTGCTAAGAAGTGAATTTGGTGATGCCTACAACCGTGTCCTAGAAGCTGACCTATGCCTGGGACTGGACCATTAATGACTCAGCTTCCATATTCCCTTCTCTGATTTATTGAGTAAGTTGAGAGACCTGTGGATGCAACACTCTCTGTTTGGCCAGGTTCAGCTGGTCTGGTCTACCCCACAGTGCCTGCTCCTCTTGACCTGACTTGCATGTACCGTGGGTTAGCTGCTGTGGCCTTCTCCATACCTCTCTGTTCATCGTGTCCCCAACTCCCAATCCCAGGCACTTGAGCTAACCCCTTTCTGATGCTGCCAACCCACATAGAAATATCTTTTAAAGAAAAGACTGTTGGGCCAGGCGCGGTGGCTCAAGCCTGTAATCCCAGCACTTTGGGAGGCCGAGGCGGGTGGATCACGAGGTCAAGAGATCGAGACCATCCTGGTCAACATGGTGAAACCCCGTCTCTACTAAAAATACAAAAAATTAGCTGGGCCTGGTGGCACGTGCCTGTAGTCCCAGCTACTCAGGAGGCTGAGGCAGGAGAATTAGCTGAATGCAGGAGGTGGAGGTTGTGGTGAGCTGAGATCGTGCCATTGCACTCCAGAGTGGGTAACAAGAGCAAAACTCCGTCTAGAAAAAAAAAAAGAAAAGACTGTTTATTTTGATGAAGGTCTGTTGCAGCTTAATAATTATGTGTCTACAGGGCCTACAGTGCATAGTAGTATTTTAGGAACTCAGGCTTCCTTCTGATTACCCATCCAAAAACAAATTTCTCAGAAGTCAGGTAAGGCTAAATTCTGTCTTAATTATTTTAAACTCTCTGTTCATTCCTCAGTTATATCATTTTCAAAAGGTATAACATAGGGATTAGAAATTTGGTTTGGCCAATGGAGTATTTTTGCAACAAATGTAATTTAAATGTCTTTTGGGGAGCTTTATTATATGATTCCCTGGTTCCCATAATTTCCGTGCCTCTTAGCACATGGATTGTGGCAGGATTCACACATGTGGAATGAGCTTACTCCAAAGCATTACACTGTCTCCTTAGTCATCTGGTCTAATTAACTTACAGTCATTTACAAAGTATACAAATGTCATGTTTTACAGAATATCCAGGATGGTTTAGATCCCTTCAGAATTCAATATGACAAAAGACTAGAGAATTGGCATAACCCTAGTGCCGGATTATAAGTATATACTCTTTGTCATGTAATTATAAACTGCTGCAGAAACTACTTTTCAATATGTTGGACAATGATATATTAACCAGCTCTGCAATTGACTAAATACATGAAGCTATATTAATCTGTTGTAATAAAAGCATACCCCACTGGAGTATGCAGTTGGGATTACTACTTGGTTAAGTTTTTGGAAGTTTACTGTCATCTGTCAGGATTCATCTTTTTTTGTAGTGCCAGATGGTGAATTAATTGGGGATATCATGGGACGACCACTACCCATGGTTTCTTTATCTGCTGTTTCCCCTGTTATATCCTATAGTTTTTGATACACTATTTTGAAAGAACAAGGAAGAGGGCAATATCTGAGACTTATGCTTGACTTTAAGACCAAAGAGTCAAACTGAGAGTTCTGCTATTTATGTTTGTTTTAATTATATAAGACCAGTACAATAATCAGTGGCTAGATGCATGGACTTAGTGGACCACTATGAGCCAAAACTGGGCTGGAGCTTCATTTATTACCCAACTCTAATACATTATCCAATCTAATTAGAGATAGGAGGTCAGGGAGGGGGTACAATGATGTTTCAGTTCCCTGGATATCAATGTCAAGTGAAACTCTGTTTCTAGCATTTCTCAAAATGTCTGAATTTCCCCTTTCTGCACTGTGTGGTTACCTTTATGATCCTCAGCTAATACCATTGGGAGTTCTGAAGCTGAAATTGTTCTTCAGCGTTATTCTTTTTGAGGTAAAAGGGCTAGATCTTCGGACCTTTAAATTGAGCAGTCACTGGATGCTGTCTTTCCTTGGGAAGAGGCCATGACTCTCACCAAGACACCTTTCTGCAGTTAAAGACAGTTTTCAGAGGGAGGCCAGCAGTGAGCCACCAGTACATGACACTCTTAGCATGTGAGGGAATCACTATCTTGGTCCTGAAAGGAGGATATAGGCCCCACACCACATCTTCCACTCCAAGTCCATAGCCAAATTGCAATGGCAGAATATTATGCAATAAAAGTAAAGACATACTGTAGATAAGAAGACCAAATCTAAAAATGCTCAAATGTCACCTCTGTTGTACTACCATTACATCTGTATTGAGCACACCACTCATTTACTCATTGTTTCCTTTATTCAATCATTCAGGTTCTTTTTATACCAAATACCATACGTTGTGAGCACGGTTTGGATTCCTAGCATTGTTTGAATCTCAGCTATGTTCTAGTTGCACTGCACAGTTCTTTAGTCTTTACAACATGAATAAACTGAGACACAGATGAGAAACCTTGTATACCCACAATCACCTAGCTGATGAATGGGAGAGTTGCAGCTGGGACTCAGTTCTGCTTCTAAGGACTGGTGTTCCCTTCCCACTATATCCAAAGATGTTTATGGGAAATGTTAACCACAGGATAATTACCTAAAAAGTAGGGGAATAGAGAATAATGGAATCTGTGATAACTTGATAAGTCAATTAGCAACATTTCAATAAATATTATTGTAGGAGATGAGAAAAATTTGCAGCTTTTTCTTATAGCTGTGTCTGTTTTAATATTTTATACTATTTGTCACTATATATCTGCTGCAAACAAAAGAAAAAGACTGAGATGAGTCTCTATCAAATTTGGAAGTTTATTTTGCCAAGGTTGAGCATGCACCCAGGAAAAAGAAAGAGAACTTAGGAACATCTGTGATTATCTGTGCTTTTTCCAAAGAGATTTTGGGGACCTCACCATTTAAAAGGGAAAGAGAAGGCAACAGGGAAAAGAGGAAAGGGAAAAATGGGTGAGGGAAGATAAAGAGGCAAATGGTTATATTCTTTTTAAGGTTTTGATTAGTATTGACTGAATCCACATTTTACATTTGAAAGGAGAGTGCTCAGAGAATTTCATTTTTATATAAGATAAAGTAAATACAGAATAGAGGAAACAGTCAAATATACATTTTTCTCAGGTGAGGGCAGAAGGATAACTGCTATTTTTGTCTTAGTCCCATAGCTGTGGAGATAAACTGTTAATTTACATTGTAAGAGTGAGTTTCAGGGTGTATTAGTCCATTCTCGAATTGCTATAAAGAACTACCTGTGACTGGGTAATTTATAAGGAAAAGAGGTTTAATTGACCCACAGTTCCACAGGTTGTACAGGAAGCATGGCTAGGGAGGCCTCAGAAAACTTACAATCATGGTGGAAGGCAAAGGGGAAGCAGGCACATCTTACATGGATGAATAAGGAGAAAGAAGGGAGTGGGAGGTGCTGCACACTTTTAAACAACCAAATCTTGTGAGAACTCACTGACTATTCATGAGAACAACAAGGGGGCAAGGGGGATATCTGCCCCCATGATCTAGTCACCTCCCAACAGGCTCTTGTTCCAACATTGTTGATTACAATTTGACAGAAGATTTGGGCAGGGACATAAATCCGAACCATATCATTTCACCTCTGGCCCCTCCCAAATCTCAGGTTCTTCTCACATTTTAAAATACAATCCTGCATTCCCAAGTCTCTAAAGTCTTAACTCATTCCAGCATTAACTCAGAAGTCCACAGTCCAAACTCTCCTCTGAGACAAGGCAAGTTCTTCTCCTATGAGCCTGTAAAATCAAAACCAGTTAGTTACTTCCAAGATACAATGTGGATACAGGCATTGACTAAATACTTCCATTCCAAAAGGCAGAAATCAGTCCAAACAAAGGGACTACAGGACCTATGCAAGTCTGAAACCCAGCGGAACAGTCATTAAATCTTAAAGCTCCAAAGTAATCTCCTTTAACTTGATGTCTCATACCCTGGCCACAATGATGCAAGGGGTTACTTGGCTGCTTCACCTGCTGGTGTTGAGTGTCTGTAGGTATTCTAGGCATGCAGTGCAATTCGTCAGTAAATCTACAATTCTGGATTCTGGAGGATAGTGGAGCTCTTCTCATAGCTCCACTTGGCAGTGACCCAGTGGGGACTCTCTGTGGGGGCTCCATCCCCACATTTTCCCTCTGCACTGCTCTAGTAGAGGTTTCCATGAGAGTTCTGCCCCATAGTAGACTTCTGCCTGGACATCTGGGTATTTCCATTCATCCTCTAAAATCTAGATAGAGGCTCCCAAGCCTCAACTCTCACACTCTGCACAACCTCAGGCTTAACATCTCATGGAAGCCACCAAGGCTTTTGGCTTGCACCCTCTGAAACAACAGCCTGAGCTGTTCCTTCATCCATTTTAGCCAAGACTGGAGCTGTAGTGACCACAATGCCAGGCCTTATTTTTTGAGGCTGCATAGAGCAGTGGGGCCCAGGACCTGACCCACAAAGCCATTTTTCCTCCTAGACCTCCAGGCCTGTAATGGTAAGGGCTGCCACAAAGGTCTCTGAAATTCCTTCAAGAATTTTCCCCCCTTTATCTCCACTATCAGCATTTGGCTTCTCTACAAATGTGAATTTCTGCAGCTGGCTTGAATTCCTTCTTAGAAAGTGAAATTTTCTTTTCTATCATAAGGCAAGCCTGCAAATTTTCCAAACTTTTACAACTCTGCTTCTCTTTTAAATATGAGTTTCAGTTCCCAATCATTTATTTGCTCTTGAATGTAAGTGTACACTGCTAAAAGCAGCCAGGCAACACCTTGAATATTTTTCTGCTTAGAAATTTCTTCCCTCTGATATCCTAAATTATTACTCTCAAGTTGACAGTTCCCAATATGTTCCTCCTCTCCATTTGAGACCTTGTCAGCTTGGCCATCTGTGTCCAAATCACTATCAGTATTTTTGTCAAAATCATTTCAGAAGTCTCTAGGAAGTTCCAAACTTGTTCACATCTTCCTGTCTTCTTCTGAGCCCTCCAAACTGTTCCAACCTTTTCCTATTACATAGTTCCAAAGTTGCTTCCACATTTTCAATTATCTTTATAGCAATGCCCACTCCTGGAATGAATTTTCTGTATTGGTCATTCTTGCATTGCTGTAAAGAACTACCTGAGCCTGGATAATTTATAAAGGAAAAAGGTTTAATTCATTCACAGTTGCACAGGCTTAACATGAAGCATGGCTGGAGTGGCCTCAGGAAACTTACAATTATGGAGGAATGCAAAGGGGAAGCAGGCACATCTTATATGGTTGGAGAAGGAGGAAGAGATAGTGAAGTGCTATACGCTTTTAAACAGTCAGATTTTGTGAGAACTCACTCTCACTGTAATGCCAAGGGGGAAGTCTGCCCTCTTGATTCAATCACCTGCTACCAGGCTCCTCCTGTTATCACTGAGGATTACAATTCAACATGAGATTTGGGTGGGGACACAAATCCAAACCATAACACAGGGTGAAGATCTTGGGCCTCACATAGAATTTTCTTGTGAGCACATTGTAAGGGAGACCAACTGGGGAGGTATGTGGACTTCTATCTTTGCAGCTACCTACTAAAGAACAAAATAGGAGGCAATTTTGCAACTCAGTTCTCACGCTTGA